ATGTGAAGCAAATTGCCCTTCAAATCAATGTGAACGCCTTTTAAAATAACTTTTAATACGTTTTCTTTTGGCCTTTTTTTTTAAACTTTAGCAATGAGGTGCCACCGGGATTCATACATGAGTGCTTGCTCAGTTACCTGTGGTCTGGAGTTACATCATACAACCATTAGCTGTACGACCTGCTCCTCCAGAGTCAAGGGAACTGTGGATCACACTGACTGATTTCCTCGGTGACTCCCCAGTTCTTTTACTCAAAATGCTGACAGAAACCCAAACTATATTGCATCTACTGAAAGTAGTGAATTCTCCTTAGAACTTTATTTGAACATTCTGAATTTTATTATCAAATGTACAGTATGCATATGTGTGTATATATGTGTGTGTGTGTGTGTGTGTGTGTGTGTGTGTGTGTGTATAAAATTATAGAAGACTACAACCTTTTTATTTAGGAAAGCTATATATGTCTCTTTCACCATGGGTTTACTTTTCAAAGTCAACCCCTATTTTGAGGAGTTTCTAGTTAGAAAAACTAATAAATTCATAATAGATTGAGCACTAAATACACAACAGCAGTATAGGGAGATGCTGAGGGAAGCAGCATTCAGATGAAAGGCAGCAAGAGGACAGACTGAGCCCGAGCTCCTCCACCTGAAGCTTCTGATTTGCCTTAGCTAGCAGACCTGGAACACTGATAGGTTTAATTTTACACCTATGTATTCAAATAATGAATTAACTATTTTATAGGCAACAAGTCACTGTGCAGAAATGGTAAGCCCTTGGATTGGGGGCAATACCCCAGGCAGTACAAGGAAGCAGTAACTTTTGAGTCTGTAACTCAGTTTTGGCTGGCACAGTTGCATTTCTACTTCCTAGAATCAAAAGAGAGTCAAAGAAAATCTAACAATATCTTTGAGCCCAAATGTATGAAATATGGGGAGGACAGAGGAACACTATTTAGTACTTGACTTCCAGTGCATGACACAAGAATGTCGCCCTCAATAGCTCAGCAGCCTCTGAGTGTCTCCACCCAGATCAGAAGCACAGCAACCACAGTGAGCTGCAGGTTAATCTTCCATATCAGCGTGGGCAGTAGCGATGGTTGCAGTGGGCACAGCAACATAGTGGCAAAAGTAGTTTTAACAAGCATGGTGCCAAACCCAGCTTCAGTGGGGTGAGGTGGCCCCAAGAGCAAGGACACCTCACCTGGAAAACATCAGTATCTGGGTGCTGGATGCTGGGCAGGGTTGGGGAAGTGATATTTGAAATGGGTGTGGGGAAACGGGAAGCTAAGTGTGTTTGCCGGGAGTTGTTCAAGCTTAAATGCATTTTTGTGGTCTCTGCCAAGTGGACAGACAGATGAGAATGCAAAAAAGAGATTGAAAAGTTTGTGTGAAGGGTGAGGCAGTGCTCCAGTGCTCCTGCTGGTGGCTGACAGCCCCAAGGGAACGCAGGGTGTGCCAGAACCCCAGCTGGGATGGAACACTTGGCTAGTGAAGTGCAGGGACCATGAACACAATGGAGGAGCCCAGTGTTCGATGTTGGCATGGGTGTTGTTTAAAGAAAAGAACGCCCATTAAATCTTTGTACATGAAAGATTTGCTGGAGCTATTCATACCTTGCCCGAATTGCTTTTACTTCAAAATTGTACAGATACCAATGTAAGAGAAAGAAAATTTGAATGTATATGTATATATAGACATGCAACTTTCTGATTTTATTAACTAGTATAAACAAAAACAGGATTGGGTTTGGTTTGCTCTTAAGAAATGACTATTCTATTTGCACAAGATTTCAGAAGAAAGTACAGTAAGTCCTCGACTAAAGAATAGTTGAGTTTTGAACTTGCACAGACTCAAATGGACTGCTCACTAGTTAGATTCAAGGAAGTCGCTGAAGTAGCTCACCCAGAGGCCAGGATGTCCAGAAGCAAGGAGACGAGCAATGGTGAGGCAGAGGTTTGCTCTTTTTATGCTTTGCTCTGTGTATCTGTGTTAGAGGTGTATAAGACTCACTTTGTTGAACTTGCAAACAAATTCGACTTTTGTATGTTCTCCCAGAGCTAAGCTTGTTGTTAGCCAGGGACTTGCTGTATATGAGGTTGCAACACTGATCTACCAAACTTTATTCCTGATTAAGACTGAGGTTCCAGACTTCCTGTCTGGAACCTCTTAATTTATGCTTTTGTGTAAATACTAAAGATCCAGTACTATAGTCAAGTTTGCCAGGACACAACTGACATCATTTCAAACATACCGCCACAGTGAATGTAGGCTTGTGAACCGAAGGCCTATCTCATAATCATGGTTTTGTATTCCAGACCATTTCTTTCGGAAAATGTGACATTTAAAATGTTTATTTCTTTAAAAACAAAGTTATTAAAGGAGAATCTGACATAAAACAGCGCTTTAGACGCATGTTGATGTTACAAGGGTAAGTGGTTCCAAATATGAGCATTTAGTTTCCCTTTAGAATACACAGTTTGAAAAACACTCATTTGAGG